AGGGTGTAGGATGACAGTTGGGAGGCGTAGCCGCCTTATATACTGTGGGCCTGCACACGCATTCAGGTAGGCTCGCCCCGATTGGCCGGCTACGTTTATGCAACTCAGTATGTGAACGCTCGCATAGCATGGTTGAGAGTAGTACCCAAAGAGTCCAGTAGAGGGCTCCGCCTGTGCGTATATAACTAGGGTTACAATACGTAACCCCCCGTTTCTCCCCGCTGCTCTGTCACTCTCTTTCCGTACTTGCTGGGGCTGATTACCTCTGTACTGCAGTGAAACGACCTCGGTGGCTATTCAGCTATTCAATTTTTAAGCTTTCATATTGACAGTCATCAAGCCCCTTGTTGTGAACTCACCTCTAAGTAAGAACAAATATTGTGCACCATCAGATCTCAATGCTTTCCTTTAAACTAGGGCTGTCAACATTAACTATTAATCTGGAAACCTTAACACAATAACAACGTAAATGAATCACATTACCAACATTGAGCAATACTTCCTTCCGTAATTCCAAGTCAGGCGTTCTATGTACCATGAATTTTATAGCAGTGAAAATCCTAAGAACAGCAGAGAAAAGAGACATTCACTGCACTGACTTGTAACCATCATTACCTCGTTGTTTCAGCACACTTGGTCAATGACAAATGTCCAGCACTCGTTCTCCAGTCATTAGATAGTTAATCAAAACTTCAGTATTTAGTGAAACATTATGTTTAAACCATACCCTGAAGAAATCAGCGATATTCCCCGGTAAATAATGATTTTATAGCTCTTTTTTATCAACACCTGTATATTCCGTCAGGCAGCTGCCATTTTGGCCATTTTCAGTAGTCACATGATCCGAAAAACTAGGTCGTGACGTCATCTATGCGTTCACTTTGTCAATTTGATGGGAATTCCGGCTCTTCTTGGTGAGCCGGATCATTTGGCTCGGCTCACCAAGAAGAGCCGGCTCTTTCGGCTCCCAAACGGCTCTTCAGTTTACCACTTATTATACCTTTTAATTAAATCAAATGTAGCCCTGTTTTGATTAATGATTTATATGTGTACACATATATCACTTAAATTATTCAATACATCCTTTGTACTGAAGTATTCAAAAGTAAAAATTACATGTTTAATATAAATGATTTGCTGTGGCCAATTGTTTTCATTGCATTTACAGACACGTGCAACTCTCTGATACCACCCAATGAATGCATTGACTTGCTTGTAGAACCACGCTACACAAAACAGATAGCAACACCTATAAAAACTATTTTAAAAAAGGGGCTACTGTATCGACCTATATAAAGTATATAAATATAGTTTTTTTTTCAAAATACCAAAAAGATCCTGCATTTTAGCCATGCCTCATTTCGCTCTATTTGCTCTTTCCAGCGCTGTTTTTGCAGGGGGCTGATTCTGTGAGCTGCAGCTGACCACGCCCCCCTGCAGGAGAGGGGAGCGTGCTCTGAGATCAGCTGCTGGGCTGTCAGAAGAGGAGGAGAAAAAGAGATCTCCGTCCTCCGTGTTTTATTCTTATAGAAGTAAGAAGAGAAGTAATGGGGCAGAAACCCTCCTTTTTACGCAGCGGTCCAGACATAGACATCAAACGGCGACACATATTCAGTTGCCAGTTACTTTGGCATTAGGGCAGGGATATCTAGATACTTTCCAAGGTTTGACATCATGAATTGTGCTACTTTTAAAGCAAGCAACGATGTTTTCAAATCTGTAATCAAAAAGCTCCTCAAAAACACTATCGAAGCAGTTCCTGCCGTTGCTACGTTAGTTCAAACAGTAACAACAGACTACTTTTCTTAGCGGATGCATGTCAATTTAAATCAATACATAAAACTATTTTTTAAATCACTAAAATCATTTTCTAAATCCATAAAAGCATTTCCATTAATATTGGGAGTCATGTCGTTACTTTGTTGAGAATGTGGCCATGTAATAAGCGGGATAATGTGCACATTGCACATTGCATAATGTGCCTTCATGCCGATCTAGATCCCTCTGCAAAAATGGCTCGTTCGCGGGCGAGAGCCGGCTCCCGTCGTTCACTTAAAAGAGCCGGCTCTTTGAGCCGGCTCGTTCGCGACCGACACATCACTAACGAACAGCTCGTTCGACGAAAACATGGCGGAGTATTTGAGTTCGGACTCGTCAGCCGAGGAAGAAGTTTAGAAAAATGAAGTCCAGGCGGACTTACTTTGAATTATCACTATAGGTATTCATTCCATCCAAATACAACTGTAAAAAAACATACTCTGTTATCCTCTTAGGCCCCACGGACCCGGTTCCGGGGCCGAAATCGCGTCATTTGCAGGAAACAACGTCTAAGGAACCTTAATATTTAATAAACTATGAATATTTTATATCCATATAACGGGAAAAAACTAATTTAACTGATCTTTTTCATTTTTTTCTTCAAAAAAAACACACAATGCTAACAGTGAGCCTCTGAATTAGCCGGAGCGAAAAATGCTAACCTATTACTGCACCGAAAATCACTCCTAGCTCCCTTATTACTTATCCTAGCTGCACACCCAACACATCGTTTATGATCGTAAAGACACAGAATCTAACGGTGCTCACCTAAACACTGAAAGATAGAAACTCGCGACGTTATCAACAAAAACGTACATCAAAACAAGTGGCGCTAGGTACTAACATGCGCTAGGCTAACATGGCTTACCTTGGTCTTTGTCTGGTCTAAACTGGTCTTCAATGGCATTACAACGATAAAAACACGACGCTGAAGTTGGCTTCCGATTCAGAGCATCCGATTCAGCAGTTAAGGGGAAAGTTAAGGGACGTTTAATTTACAGCGCTGAGCGAACAATCTTCCGTGTTTGAACCTCTTAAATCGCTGCATAGCCGATTTATTTGGACTGGATTATCCCAGAGAGTCTAAAGATTCTTTATAACCCAGTTTGAGATTTGTGAAACCTTTATTCTATTTGTGAAAATACAAACAAGGGAGATTTCAGTGCTTTTTTTTAATCTAGACCACATTAGACCAGGTCCTGATCTAAAACCACTTTTCCTAGACTCGTCAAATCTGGACTGGATTATCCCAGAGGGTCTAAAAATTCTTTATAACCCAGTTTCAGATTTGTGAAACCTTTATTCTATTTGTGAAAATACAAACAAGGGAGATTTCAGTGCTTTTTTTACATGTAGACCACATTAGACCAGGTCCTGATCTGAAACCACTAGACCTACACTCATCAAATCTGGACTGGATTATCCCAGAGGGTCTAAAGATTCTTTATAACACAGTTTCAGATTTGTGAAACCTTTATTCTATTTGTGAAAATGCAAACACAGGTGGAAGGCTGAGGTTGCTGCAGCAGGCCAGGATCAGGATCAGAAAGTGAACCTCCCAGCTGGGCAAGCCTTTATGCCTTCTTGAGGCTCCGCCTCTAGATGGGCGGGCACAAATTCTGGCACATTTACAGGAATGTTAATTAATGTGCACTGTCGCTGTTAATCAAATGAATACAAAAATAAAAATAAGTGTATGCTCCTCATTTAGGTGATAATTCTTTATCTACAAAGTTTTCGTATCTTAAATACTGTTTCATAGCAAACAAAAAAATGAAAGAGATGTTAAAGGAATTCAGGTTCATGAGATAAAGAAAACCTTCAGTCTTTCATCCACTTTGAACAGCTTATGCTGCTTTATCCTAAAGCAAAATATGAATAGCAATTATTTTTCTGAGAGAGAAGACAGGATTACAATGAACCAACTTTCTCATACCATTGTTACCAAAGTGTTATTTTCTAATCTTGTAATGTTTTTCACATTCCAAGCAATCCTAGTACTCAAGATGACATACTGTAATTAGGCAAACAAAGCTTGTTGCTTAAAGTAAACTTGAACAATGCTAGTTATAGACTATATTTAATTTCCTGTTGAAATGTTTTGCCTGCAACTGTAAATACATTAAGTTTATATAAGTATACCTACTTATCTGTTGAATTTTTATTTGCAACAAAAAATTATAATACATTTGAGAAGTAAAGACTTTATTCTTCCTTAATTAGCTGTCCATACTTACCCGATTTGATGAGTGTAGGTATAGTGGTTTCAGATCAGGACCTGGTCTAATGTGGTCTACATGTAAAAAAAGCACTGAAATCTCCCTTGTTTGTATTTTTAGTTAATCCAGGCCGAGGACAAATACACATGCGTTAATCGAACGTTCAAATAATTAGTGGCGTTAAAAAAATGTTGCGTTATTAACGCGTTAACTTGACAGCCCTAATTGTGGCAAATATTCTCTGAGAGAATCTGTTGTGGGAATGCTTGATGAAAAGAGGCTTATTGAGAGATCATCTGAATACAACCAAATCCAATCCAAGGCTTTGTGCAGGATTTAGTGGAGGACACATGCTGTCCTTGCAGAAATCCATGTCCTCACAATGTTGGAAATGCTATTTCAACAATTTTGTCGATGGCCACTATATTTGTAACTTAGTTACAACAAGTAAAATATTTGTATAAGGCTAATATACCGGTACTGATATTGTTTAATTAGGTTGTATCAAATAATAGGGCTATAATATTTGAGCTAGAGGATGCATCGTTACAATATACAGTCACATTGTGACGGTGCATTTCCTAAGTCACAATACAGGAGTATCTAATATTCCTCTCATGTAGGGCTCCTTTAAAAACAAAGGGTGAATTTAAAAGTGGATTGGACAGTGAAAGAGTGTTTTTAGCAGCATTGATATAAAAGCTGCGAAACCTCCTGGATAGATGGGACATCAGGGTGAAAAGAGGTGCTGCAGCACAGGCAGTATGAGACAAATAAAGAGCTTTTTTCATTAAAGCACGGAGACATGTCACAGTAGAAACACTAAATACAAATATTAACCTAAAGATGCACATAAAAGGACCCCTTTAAGCTAAGGGATCTTGTTATTTTTTGTTTTTGGGGATACTGTAGGCAGTAATACATATTGTAATTGTATTTTTGTCTTTTCTTCTCTTATTTCAGGTTTTGATAATGCTGGGAACATTTCAAGAACAGTGAAGACCAGCAACTACAGGAGACAAACAGAAAGTGTGTTGTTCAGAAAGAGTTTGTGCTGTAACTTTTACTATTTTTATAAGCCCAGCTGATTTAGTGAGGGCTAAGGTACTGTCAGTATCTTTTTATGTACTCACCCCATATTCTAAACTGGATATGGGTCAGACTCTTTTTATACTCTGTTCTCGTTACTTTTTTGGGTCGCTCAGCCTTTTACACCGGGAGCCTAGTGAATAAATTATAAATGTCCCTGGTCCGCTTCAGAGTGCTTGTCGTTTGTCAATATCTGTTGGTCAATTGTGCTTTATCTTACATTTAACGGTGAAAGCAAAACATACACAATCACATTGTGGCCATGTTTAATGTGTCGTCACTGACTCCGTACATGTGTCGGATTCAGCAGACAGCAGCCTAATGCCAGGCGGGTCCCAGCAAGGAGAGCGGAAAAGAAGGGCAGGGGGGGCGGGGGCTGACTCTGCAGGGAGTGCGGCCCGAAATAGCAGTGGTCAGATGGGGCAGGAGTGACCAGCAGGCGGGGTCACAGGATCCGCTGGTGGAGACCGCAGACCCACGTCAGAGGGGTGTACACCGGACATATATTGTAGATGCAATATGGACAGAGGATATTACAAGCTGCCGCTTCAAAAACAATGCAAATTAAAAAAACACAAATGTGCCAAAACACATGTAAACACACCAAACATGGGCAGTCTTAAAGGTCCCATGACATGCTTTTCCAGTTATTACCCGTCCCCTTGTGTGTTATAGCTTTATGTAAACGGTCTGCAGAGTCACAAACCCTCAAAGTACACCCTGTAGCGATTAAAACTCTAACACAGAAAGACCTGTCTATGCTGCCCCAGAACGCCTCGTTGGAGATTTTTCTTTTTCCATTTTTTTCTTCCTGGTCACAGTGACGTAACGCCGACCATATGGACCAATCCGCGGAGCTCCACACACACACACTCACTCAGCCTTATCTTTTCTCAGCCGCGGCTCCTCGGATCTCCGCACACACAGTGTTAAGTAAATTCATCAAAAAAATAGTATACACCCAAATTCAATACTACTTTTCAAGTAACAAATAACTACCAACATGCCTATAGAGATGGTCACTCTACAAGTACAGCACTTGCACAAAGAACCGACGACTGGTTAAAGAGCATGGATGATAGGAGGCTTGTAGGAGCTGTCATGTTAGACTTTAGCGCAGCTTTCGATGTAATCGATCACAGTCTCCTGCTGAACAAACTCAAATGCTATGGCTTTGGTTCTGTTGCTATGTGTTGGATGGAGAGCTACCTGACTAGTGCCCCTTTCACACCAACGCGTTTTCAGCTCCGGCTCGGAGCTGGAGCCTGAAAAGTGCCGTTTTTTCCTGTTCACACCGCAGCGGCGCCGCCTCTTAGCTCCGGAATCCGGTTCACTTCCAGCTCCAAAAAATTGTCGGTCTAGAGGCAAGAGCTTCGGAGCTAAGAGGTGATGTCGCTTACGTCTCTCTTACGTCGAGGCGTGCAGGAAACTAAACCCACCTCCCCTGAACATGGGTCGACTGTCATGCCTGCCTACAAGCAGTAGTGCTTATAAACACACTTTATAAAGTCAGGCAACACTAACCAGGCTTTGTGTGATTCTGTTTATTTGTACCTTACTTTGACCATCCGTTCACTGTTATTGATCATTGTGGAGAGAGGCAGACGTTTTGTTTTGTATTATAGCAGCTATCGGATGGAATCAATACATGGGCTGCACAGGTTGTCGTGTCCGACTATCACAAGTAGAATCATAATAAAAATACTCCGGTAAAATGTGCCTGTAGAAAACGGTTTATGCTACAATAGGATAGCAATAGCAAGTAGTCCGTTTAGCTTCGGTTGCTATGCTAACATCACCCATTTTATACCAGAGAAACTTTCATAACAGCGTTGTGATGCCAAACAGCGTCAATTCAGACTGACACACATTCACTTAGGCTAAGGGGAACTGGGGATATGTATCAGCTGCTTGTGTGAGTCGGACAGTGAATACTTTAGAGCGGCCGCTGCAGTGTGAGCTAACCGGGAGCTAACGGAGGAGAATAAACTCCCGTGGAAGAGCAGCCAACACTGCAGCGGTCGGTAAATGCCGCAGAAATACATTAATAAACAATGAACCACGGCACTCTGGAGAAAAGTACAAGGTTGGAGAAGTCGTTATTTAATTTAATCTGGCTTCGTGTGATTAAAAGCAACACGATCATCGACCCGACGCAGTTCCCCGTTGTTGTTGTTGTTGTTGTTGTTGTTGTTGTGAGCGCCGTAACGCCGTTGACGGTGACGTCATGACGCAGCAGCGGCAGCACCAGTCGGGCTCTGGGCGGTGTGAACAGAGCGGGAGCAGAAAAGGGAAACCGGAACTGAACCAGAAAAGCTCCCGCTCGGAGCTAGAAAGGGAAAAGCGCTGACCAGTGTGAAAGCCGCATAGGAGAAGGCAGCGTGTCTTTTTCAAACTTCTGAAAGTAAGGTGTTGCAGTGTGGGGTCCCACAGGAGAGTTCGCTTGGGCCTTTGTTTACACATTACACATAATTACACATATGATGTTTGTCAATTTAAAAGATAATTTTGCAAGTAAAAAAAAAAAGAATGTGTCGTAAAACTGTGAAGTTACACATTTGTTTGTGTGAAACACTGAATGAACTACATCTCCGGTCTAGCACAACAACACACGTCACCAAGATGGCCGTCACTACAGTCTTGTCAACAAAAGGATTGACTACCCTCACTATCACCACAATGAAACACGTCCAGAAGAATGTCATGCAATGTTGAATGTCAACCATTTGTGCAGATTGCGTGAAGTAGAAAAGATCGCAGATGCTAATGTAGCGTTAGCATTTCTCCCCCGGGCTTAAATTGTGTATTATAGAATGACCACACCGGTGTGACAGTACTCTTCAAAGAGTTCACGAAATATGACTACTACTAGTCTACTCTTACTGTTTAACATGTTAGGTTACTTAATGTTAGTGATGTTACGTATTGCGCCGAGGCTTCGGAGCGTGTGTCGAGTAATCTCCGAAGCTTTTTGTGAAGCATGTATCGAGGCTTGTATCGTTTTGGGCCAGTGACGTCATCGATGACAAACGAAGCCTCGCTGCCTGTCGATACCACGTGACTGCTTCACGAAGCGATTCAGATCGGTTGAACCACAACGCTCATAATACCCATGGATGTATAATAAGAACCATATTACCCCTCCTGTAGCCAGGAGGGGTAACACGATGGAATCAAGAGAGCTCAGACCCTCACTTATAGAGGTCGGAACATGTCATAAGTATAAATAGATACAAGCATAAATAAATGTAGGAATAAAAACATCAATAAATACAGGAATAAATATCTTGCAGTGTTTTCAGGGAGCTTTAGTGTGTGTGCTGTGGCTCAGCTGGAAAGCAGTTGACTCATGACCGCAGGGTCCCTGGTTCAACGACTGAACAATACGTATTTTTTGTTGTTTATAAAAGCTACAGCTAAATGAGAATGTAGTTAATAAATGTATTCTTTGATATGGTTTAGCCTTTCTCAGGCTACAACATGGTTAAGTTTATGAATATTATTAACCTCTTAAGCCCCAAGCCTGTTTTTCAGGTTTCAGGCTCGAAAATGACATGCCCAAAACAAAGGACTATAACTTAACTTCTAAAAGGGTTATATGAATAATTTCTTTTATCAAAGCAAGGTCACATCTGTGAGTTGGATGTAGAAGTGTCAGAATCAATAAAGATGTTTCAGTGTCAGAGTAAATCCAGATGGAACATAGTCAAAAAGTGTACATTTTTGTCTCCGCCCAAATAAAACCCATTACTTATAGTGAAAACCACCCTTGAATGATGGGTTAGTAGCCTAAAAGCTTTAGGAATCCAAAGTATAACATATAATAAGTACCCTGTATCAAGATTGAGGCAAAACAAGTGAGAATTGACCTTTTTAAGAGAGATTTAGCAAAAAAAAGTCCAAGCGGACTAAGCTTTGGGCACATTTGGTTTCATCAGTGCCATTTAACCTTTTTCAGGTACCAGACTGTAAAAATCATTGTACAACATTTAATTATCACTATAGGTATTCATTCCATAAAAAAAAAAAAAATTATTATTGTTAAAAAAAATTTTTTAAATTAAGTGGGTGTGTGTGTGTGGTGTGTGTGGGAAGTTCCCTCTTTGCATGAGATGCATGTTACTTGCACAATAAAAATGAGGAAACTTAGGAAACATTTGACTCCAACTGGAGCAGATTTATTAAAAAAAATTAACACACTATACAACAAGCATTTTTTGGGTAAAAAAAAAACTTTATACAAACCCTGAATGTTACAGTATTACTCCAGTAAGTCATGCCATGCCCTGTAAAAGTTATTTTTGGTAGTGAAGCACAGAGGGACCTGACACTTCCTGCAGTACACAGGTGTCTTCACTCTTCAGTTGCCAGCATCAGAGCACCTCCTGCAGTACCTCCTGACCTTGGTGGCATCTTCCCCATAATACTCGGGCATCCAGAAGCCATATCCTCATCGCCTTCCTCACTGTGAAAACAAATGTGGAAAAAACAAATAGATTAATTCTCTGGCTTGTACTTTCAAAAATGTAACTCAAATCAGAAATAATTTCTCTACAACAACAGCAGAACATCAATTTTGAGTGTGTGAAATAACATTATATCACTCAAAATGTATACCGTGTAAATTATGTGAGACGGGGTTCATATAATCTGTTCAATATTTAATATTCTGTCTGTCATATATATGTGTATGTATATATATATATGTATATGTATATATATATATATGCATGTATATATATGTATGTATATATATGCATGTATATATATATGTATATGTATATATATATGTGTGTATGTATATATATGTGTGTATGTATATATATATATGTGTGTATGTATATATATATATATATATGTGTGTATGTATGTATATATATATATATATATATATGTATATATATATACGTGTGTATGTATATATATATATATGCGTGTGTGTATATATATAGTTGTAAGTCACTTTGGATAAAAGCGTCAGCTAAATGAAATGTAATACTGTGTTAAATTCAACATGTATATGTCTTGTTTATTTCAACAACAAGAACAAGAAACGGCATCCATCTTCTTTGTTGTTGTTGAGTGTGTGAAAGAACATTATATCACAAGATGGATGCCGTCGTGTTATTGTCACGTGTGTGAAATTACTAGATGAATACACTC